ATCAAATCCGCCCGTACTTCTTTAAACGGTCGGCCCTGTGTCTCAATGTAGGTTGCCGTGACGCCAGTGGTGGTTGTCAACGGAGTGAAATGATGACTAACCATGATACTTTGTTCATCAGGTCCACCAGGACCACACGACATGAACGCGATCGTTGTGACTGTTGATGTTCCCCGCGCTCACGGAAGACAAGGCATCCGGATCCGGAAACCAAGAACTCGATGACGAAAGGTCATGGTCAAGATTGTGACATGCATCGTTGCATTGTTGATGTCTATCAGCGACGCTACACCGTCGCTGAAGGACGACCTTCAAGCTCGTCATGCATGCGCCAGTAGGAAGAACAACTGAACATAGGAAAGAAGTTCTATTTACAACGTCAATTTACTTCTCGACTTGTCGCCATAGCCCTCTACGGGTTGAACCAAAGCAGCCACGAATTCGAAACGCACTGCAAGGCACAAATCGCCGCCTTGGGCTGGTCGCAAAGCCTCCACGGCCCATGCGTCTTCACCCGAGGACAGGGCGACGACATTGAAACCCTCGACGGCACTTATGTCGACGACTTCATCATCGCCACCTCAAACCAGGCCAACATGGACGCAGCCGTGGATGAACTCGTAACCAAGATCGAGCTCAAGCGCTAAGGCCCCGTACACTATCTGTTAGGAATACGCTTCAACCGGCACCACGAAGGAAGACTACTCACCCTGTGCCAAGACGCATACGCGACCAAAGTCCTCGAACGCTTTGGGCTTGCCAACTGCCATCCCGTGACCACCCCGGAAGTCGCCGCCAAGAAGACCTATGGCATGACGAAGATCAGCTGCTTATCAACCAAGGGGAGTATCGCTCAATGGTCGGATCACTCGTGTACCTCATGGTCTGCACCCGACCCGACATCGCTCACGCCGTCCAACGACTGTCTCGTCACCTTCAAGCCCCTCGCTCCTCACACCTGCTCGGCGCCAAACATCCTGCGATACCTAACAAGGAAAAAACCATGGGGCGTCAGCTTCGGTTAAGGGGAGTTCACCTTGTCCGGGAACTGCGACGCAAGCTGGGCGACGCGTCCCGATCGCCGCTCCACCACCGGCTTCATCTGGTCTATCTTGGTTGGCCCGATCATGTCGAAGAGCATCCGCCAACGCATCACCGCATTTTCATGCTGTGAAGTCGAATACATAGTCGCCACCGAAGCCACTCGCGAGTCGACATGGCTGCGCGGCCTCTTGAGTGACCTTGGCGTTGAAGACTACACAATGCAAATCCTCGACAATGTCGACAATATAAACATAACAGAACATTTGTTTGCAAAACCACCCAAAGAACGCTTCGACGATTGATTCTTGTGTATCGAAACGCGAAAATCCAAACACGTTCTCGTGACTGCACTTGTCGTTTGCGAGCTGGAGGGTAGATTGAAAAATCGCCATGACGCATCCAACCACCCTTTCAAACCAATTAGTATGTCGGAGATCTCGACTTCGCTTCATGCAGCTAAACACAAACTCAACGGGATTGAAAATGTACAGCAGAAAACAACGATAACACCATCCCTTCCGAAATAGGGAACCCGTCCCGGGCGTCTGTAGATGGTGTCTGCATCCATGGTCCAAAGCGAATTTCGACCAGCATGCAGTTCCACACGTGCACGAAATCTTGACAGCATTGTGTAATTTCAGCGCAGTCGAATATGCCATGGGGGTTGAAGTAGTCGATCACGCCCGGTATACGAATGAATGCAAGCACTGACACTCGCAGTTTTCGCACAAAATCGCTGCGAATTGCATTTGTCAAGTGTCCACGCCACGATTGTAGATGACACTTTGTCCTAATTCCCAAGATTTTCACTGCACCTGTCAATATCCATGGTCTCTTGGGTGAATTGAAGCAAGTCACGTTCATTGATGTGTATTGCACGGCGATTGAGAGCTTTCCAGGTGACACCAAAGCTTTGCATAATACGCCACACTACTGTCTTGAATGTGTCTAGCCGGTGAACCTTATTGAACCGGTCTGAGCCTCATTCAAGTAGGCAAGAGGATGGGTATCATAGAGGGTCAAAGATCCAATGCCGCCGTGTGGCAGTGATTTTCTTGACTCCGGATGATTTCGCTCATTCGTACGTTCCAGTCTCGTCGTAGATCTTGACCCACTAGCTAATCATGCGCTCAAAATGAATTCGTGGCCTGATGATTCCGCGAGAACCCGACGCTGCAGCAGGCGAAGATGAAGTCTCAACCTGTGTTGGTAGTACGTGCATGTTGCCTCGTTGGTCGTCTCGACCATCTATCTCCTCAAGCAAATATCGCTCTTTCATTGACTGAAAATCACTCTTTTTTACCAATTAGAGTGTGTGGATGGTACGTGGGCAATCAAGTCCCAGCCAAACACACACAAACACTAGTTTTAGCGGTACTTATAATAACTGGCAATAGAGAGATTTCGCAGCTCGTGTTTTTGGCGTTCGCGTTCTATTTTTGAAATGTACGGGAAGTGGAACGACAGTTTAATTTCGTATGTTTCGCAACGTCGTTCCCATAAATAGCATTCATAAAGGCCACTGGCTTAAACGCTCATCACCATGGACGAGCAACAGCTTGCTCTTCGCGTGTACCGGTGGGCCAAACGAAAGAAGTTCAAACCTGGCACAACACTCCAACTGTTAACCCTTGGCTTGGGCATTCCAATTGAACGCCCAATCATCCCGGACATTCGTTTCGACCTCAACATGCGCGATGCCGATGCTTTACTCTCGTTTCGCTTTGACGTT